GGTGTGGTTCTTCCATGTGGGCTTGTTGCTACACTGTTGGATGGCCGCTTGTTTAACTTCAAGCCTTTAAGACCCAGACACTATCTTTTAATAGCCAGGCACCATCCTCTGTCTTCACCACATCTGCTTATGCAACCATTTTGTCTTCAGCGATCGTGTGTGGGGATGGGGGGTGGGAGGGGTGGGGGGGTGTAAGCATCACAGAATGCCAATTTGTTAGAACAAAGTGTTCTTGTATTGAGGGAAGGTATGAGCCAAGGCCCACAGCCCGTCTGCAGCTTCAGTGCATTGCCTTATAAATATATGCACATATATAGCTACACATATATAAATATAGGTACATCACCACTATAGATTATTATTTTCATATCTTACATCATCCTGTCTCCCTTCACCCATTTTTCTGTTGTTTACTTTCTGTTAGCTGGGCACCAACTGTTTCTTCACTGCACTTTGCTATAATACTCCAATCTTCAGTGATCTCTTCGTGAGGGTAATCATTGAGCAGGGTCATATCACAAAGAGTTGGCCTATATATGTATAATTTCCTTTTCTCAACAGTGTTTTAAATTATATGCCCTTGGATCATTAATGACACTATTAATAGAATTACCTTATGCCTCAGTGGGTGATTTATAATGTTTTCTACTGTAAAATGTTATAATGTCTCTGAAGTGAACCAGAGACATACATAAATCATAGATACATGAATGGATTTGGGGATTACATTTAATTCTAGCCCCAATCTAAGAACAATTTTTTTATTTTAAATCATTTTATTAGGGGCTCATACTATTCTTATCACAATCCATACATATATCAATTGTAGCAAGCACATTTGTATATTCATTGCCTTCATCATTTTCAAAATATTTGCTCTCCACTTAAGCCCTTGGCATCTGCTCCTCATTTCCCCCCCTCCCTCTCTGTTTCCCCTCCCTCATGAACCCTTGATAATTTATAAATTATTATTATTTTGTCTTGTCTTACCCTGTCAGATGTCTCCCAGAACAATTTGTTCTTATGACATGCCCCTCCTCAGAACAGTTACACTTTGTGCCTTTCTCCTGAAGAACGGTTTCTGGTTGCACACAACTGACCTTGCAATTAGCAGCCCAACTTGTAACCACTACCCACCAGGGTTTATTTTTCCTGTATATTCTTAAACAATTATGGTTTTAACTATTTATTCAATTTCTAATACTTTTAGCCTCTAGATGGGACTTCAAACTAACATTGGGTTAAAGTAATAATTAAATCTTAGGCTTTTTCTGATCTCAGAAACTATTATTTTCTCATGTTTATCAGCTTAAATTAGTGGTGACTGGTTTTGGACTTGATATTAATAAAGTAATAAAATATATGTTTTCTGTCTAGGTGTTTATATTATTTTAGATTGATTTACATTTTCCACACACAGTTTATTCCTTATTATTTATTTGTCATAAGCCATTGTATACATACATCACACATTCTTGGATTTGTTGATGGCTTTTGTGAGCATCCATATACAAATCACGGTGACAATGTTTTGTTATTAAAAATCTAAGAATATAACTGCTGGGCCATAGGGTTAGAGCATGTGTAACCTAACAAGATATTCTTCTGCAATATAGTCAGACCATTTTACACTTCCATCAACAATATATGAGAATTAGTGCTCCAGGAGTGTTTTATGTTATGCTTTCAGTGGCTGCTTGAAGAGTTCTTTTTAATATTTTCTTAAGTTTAGGAGAAATCTTCATAAATACCAACCTGAAATAAAAAGTGTTGCAAGTTTTTTCCAATCCTTTCAGGATTAGTCCCATAATAAAATAACAAGGAGGAAATAGTATGTAATGAATTATATACAAAAATTGATGCAATACTATTTCGTTATCATTCCCAAACTGTAAATAAACTTGTGTCTATATGCAAAATTTGTGTTATTTATACACTCTATCTTGAGAAAGAAATGTTTCATATATTCATAATATTGTGGATGATAATATTAGTTTGCTGAATGGTTTCATATATTTTAATGTTTAAATTTTTTCTTATTAGAAGCTTAGACAATTATTATATTAATCAATGTAAATGAAAAACAGATCATTTTAAAATGATTATCAGACATATCATTCAGGATTCACACCTGGGAGAAGGTATTTATCCTTGATATTCATACTGTTTTTCACAAAAGACCCAAAGGACCTTTTCCTTCTAACCAGAGACCTCTGGGACATCCAACTGAGAAGACCCAATCAGGTTAAAACACTCAAGTTTGGGGCGTATTCAAAGGATGCAGAAGTTCAAAGAGTAAGCTCCAATTGTGGAGGAACTCTTGGTAGTACAGTCTCAGTCATGCACAACAGCCTGGTCTTTGTGGAAACTGAGGTATGTTTGAGCAATTTTCAGTTAGTTTCCTAAAATGCAAAGCTTTTCTTAAAAAAAAAGAAAGAAAGAAAAGCGTTGAGATGCAAGTAATGGGAACCTCAATATTTTTTCTTAACTCTAACTAGAATACAGGTCCATTTGTTTAGGGACTAAGAAGGGAAGCAGAGTTTTTAAAATGATGAAATCAATTTGAAACTATCTCATTCTTCCCGAGATAAAGCAGTCCAGGCAATCGTGGATGCTAATGGAAATATTGCAAATGTTTTTTTCTTTTTAATTAAGAGATAATGTCACTGACATAGATGGACACAGCGGTTACACAATGACAGAGGCACAACAGCAACCATTGTGGGGATAGTGCAGCACGGAGCCCTGTCTCGTCTGTTGTGCCTAGAATCCCTAGGAATCAAAGCAGACATCAGCAATGGTAATGCCATTCAGAGCTGCTGTAGTGGGAATGTTCTTTGTGGGGAAGTAGAAATTCAATCAAGAGTAGATTTGAATCTTAGAAAGTGTGGAGGAAGAATTCCCAAAAAGAACTCCCCTATATAAATCGTCCCATCCAACTCCAGTGTTGTGTCCCCTGGAGTGGATTTCAACTTATGGCAACTCTATAAGAAAAGAGACAGAACTTCCTCACAAGGTTTCCATCACCGTAATCATTACAAAGGTAGCTTTCCAGATCTTTCCTCACAGAGTCCTGCAGAATTGTTGGTGGAGTCAAGCTACATTTCTTTCAGTTGGCAGATAAACACATATATAATGCAAAAGATAAACATTCAGAGTTTGACTTTACACGTTGGTTTTATTTTGTTCTTTAATTTAAATTAAGAATAAGCTCTCTCTCTTCTGATTGATTATCTCACCATGATTTTTAAAAGCTATTTATGTAACTTTTCTTCAGGATTAGGTTCAGTGAATGAGACAACAAATACAGATTGAAGTCAAACAACCACGGATTTAAATGTTGGCTCTTGACTATCAATTTTTAATGAGTGTGGCTTAATACAATTTATTGAGTCTTCCTGGGCTCCCATTTCCTCATCTATAATATAAGAAATATAGCATATAACCATAATGTCAGTATCAACTTAAATACATAAATCAACATGAAAATAAATATACCTCCAGGACTGGAGATAATTTTGTCTGTTTTGTTCACAATGTATTATTATAAACTGGAATGGCATGTAGCATATGAAGATCCATTAATGCATACTCGTATGTGATAAGTAAAAAGTGAACTGATTTGATGGCACCTAACAACAACACAAAGAAGTAAACAAGTACATAACCTGCATCAATTATTTAATAGATGGCAAGTTTCATTCAGGAATTATCATTTTCACCTTTATGTGACATGCAGTGTTCTTACTCCCCACATTTAAAGTTAGTATGACAAGCAGGGTTTAACCTAGGCTGACTGTCCAACAAAAATTCTGTTGATGTATTTTCAGAGAAAAGAGACTTGGCAATCAAGGTTTCCTTCTTTTAAGTAAAATGAAGGAAATTTACAAGTAGCTTACCCAGTAGCAGAATGTATTTGCATCCTTGAGGGTCATCTGGCAGAAAATATGTAGAAAGACATATTTTATTTACTATGGGAGAAGAAATAACTTATTCTGACTTGATTTGTTTCTGATTTCATGATCGCAGGTTGATTGTTCACCTACATGATATTGATCTTGGATGATCCTTAGAATGTTTTAGAGTAGGTGATGAATTTCAGTTTATAATCTAGTCCAGAAGAACCAAAAAAATTCCTCCTCCCACTGTATTGTCAAATCCTAGTCCCTTCCTTCCAGTATTGTGGTATGAGCTCCCTCTGGCTACCTCAGAAGTACAAGCATTATAGGTGAGATCTCATAGAGATCAATTTTCTGTGTGAAAGTCACAAGACTTGATTACCCAGGGTTGGAGGAAACCATGGAGGAATTTAGCAGGATGATATTCCCTGTATTTTAGGTAACAATGCAGAGACTACATTTCTTTTCCGTCTAAAACATCAGAACATATTTCAATCTTGTAGAAGCCCTAGTAGCATTTGCATTCTAAGGCCATTTCCCTTTGTCTCAATATTAGTACAATCTTCAGAAAGTCATACTATAATTCTCCTGGAAATGTATATAATGGGACTTGGGTTAGATCATTGTTGAACAGCTCAATTTGAATTTATATATACTAATCAAGGTAAGTTAGATCAAATCAGATATTTTACATGGAGATAGAAGATAATAATAGTACCAACATAAATAGCACCCATAGCAATTATTTCTAATTTTATAAAATCTTCATTGTATATGATACACAGTTCCAGAATTTTATATAGATTATTTTACTGTATAATTTAAAGCACTTGCTGAGGTTAACATAATAATCATCCTTACTTCAAATTAAGAAAACTGACCTATAAGAGTTTAAACAGCGTTCCAATATCACTAACTATGTATAAAGAGGCAGAATATGAAGCTAGATAATCGGACTCCGATGACTTGGTAACCTTTTTTAAATTTCTAAGTTCTAATAAAAACCACTTTCTTACATTTAGTTTCTAAAACTTTATACTAATCTTTGTATTATCATTTTGCTATAGAGAGCCACCACCCCCAAGGGATGTAATACTCCTCCTGTCAGCTACTATGTCTGGGCCCAACAGCTCCAGCCTGAGCCCAGGGTTCTTTCTCTTGAATGGCGTCCCCGGGCTGGAAGCTTCACACATCTGGATCTCCCTGCCATTCTGCTTCATGTACATCATCGCTGTAGTGGGGAATTGTGGCCTCATGTATCTCATCAGCCATGAGGAGGCTCTGCACCGACCCATGTACTATTTCCTGGCCCTGCTCTCCTTCACTGATGTCACCTTGTGCACCACCACTGTGCCCAATATGCTGTGCATATTCTGGTTCAACCTCAAAAAGATTGACTTCAATGCCTGCCTGGTGCAGATGTTTGTTGTACACACACTGACTGCGATGGAGTCTGGAGTGCTGATGCTCATGGCACTAGACCGCTACGTGGCCATTTGCTACCCTCTAAGATATTCCACCATCCTCACCAACCCTGTCATCGCCAAGGCTGGCCTTGCCACCTTCCTGAGGAGTGTGATGCTCATCCTGCCATTCACCTTCCTCACCAAGCGCCTGCCCTACTGCCTGGGAAATGTCATTCCTCACACCTACTGTGACCACATGTCTGTGGCCAAGATGTCCTGTGGCAATTTCAAGGTCAATGCTATTTATGGCTTGATGGTTGCTCTCCTGATTGGTGTGTTTGACATCTGTTGTATCTCCGTCTCTTACACGATGATCTTGCGGGCTGTCGTGAGTCTGTCATCAGCAGATGCTCGTCACAAGGCCTTCAGCACCTGCTCGTCTCATGTCTGTGCCATCGTGATCACCTACGTTCCAGCCTTTTTCACTTTTTTCACTCACCGTTTTGGTGGACATATTATCCCCCACCACATCCACATTATTGTGGCCAATCTGTACCTGCTGCTGCCCCCTACCATGAATCCCATTGTTTACGGAGTAAAGACCAAGCAGATCCGGGAAGGGGTGATCAAGTTTTTATTTGGAGATAAGATTGTCTTTACTTAAGACGAGTGCATTGTGCAGTCAGTTTATTGCTTATTGGGGGCAAGAATGGAGAAGAGATTTATAAAAGATGTGAATGAAATGGTATTAAAAACGCATGTTATTCTGATAAAAATATCTGAAGTCTTGACAAGTATGATGATGAATATCTGAATGTTTTCTTGTCAGCTGAAATATTTCTTGTCGGTAGCTATCTGCTGAAAATAAGAATACAGAATAAAGAAGTAAACCTATCCATTTCTGGTACACTTGCATTTTACCTAAGGATTTTCAGAGTCACATATCTGGTGAGACGAAACAGGTGAGACCATGAGAATGCAGGCCTCCTGTCAAGATATATGTTCACCGTGTAAGAAGAAACAGTGGTGCCAGAGCACAGGGCTTCTGTGAAGAAAAAGATTCTATTAGAGTAAGCGGCTTTTGCTCTGGCTATATATGAGCCCAGTGTTGAAATGGCTTTCAGTATGGTTTTTCCTGTTTCAGGTTGTTAGAAGAATTGAGAAGATGAAACCGACGTATGTCATACCCAGTATCCTCATTATTAGTTTCTTACACTTGTATGGCATGTGTGCCACAATAAATGGACCAGTATTGATATATAATTTTAACTGAAATCCATACTTTATATTTCCTGAATATATTTAATGTAATCCAGATTTAGATGCTCTGTGGATTCTTGTTAAATATATGTTAGATATATGTCTTTTCATGTTAGATATATGTCTACTAAAATAAAACATATTTCATGAAAGTCATACTTGAGAGTTGTATTTTTCCCTTAATATCAGCTTCCAACCTTTCTTTAAAATGGACTTAAAAACATAATCATCATATCATCAGGCAAACTACACAGAGCATTGATTAAATTACTAATGTAATTAGTAATCAATTCATTCACCTCTTGGTTCACCATTCATTCTTTCTTTTATAGACATGTAGTTAATCATATAATTGGCTTCATTAGAGTTACTCTTTGGAAAGATGTTGAAAATCTGCTAACACCAAGAAAAATATTGCATAGAAACATATATATAAGTCAACTATGTTATATATATATATGTCAACTATATTGGCAACTTATACTTAAATGTCAAACCCATGATGAATATTGCAGCCTTTAGTGTTCATTGTCAAGGTGCTCTATTGCTTCAATACTTTCACAATAGAAACTCTTTTCTACCCTACATGATATACAAACACACTTCTAAATATATGGATTTTCTGGACTTTCTTCATTTACCCAAGCTCCTTGATTTTTCCTCATGTCAAGCTGTTGGGAGCCGGTGGCCTTTAAGGCCTTAGCCTCAGCCACGAGCCGAACTTGGCTGCTTCCTGGTTGTTAAGTGTGTCTTTCATTTGCTAAATCTGTGGGAACTGGCCCTGCCTGAAATCCCTGCCCAACCCTGCCTCCGCGTTCCTAGCTACGTGCTCTGTAGCATGGGCAGTTGTAAAGTTGACCTTTTCACCCATTGGTTAATAATGCCAGGCGCTCATTGGAGCTTCATTAATGTACCTGTTGGATTGGATGCTGTGTCGCACACCTTATTAAAATATGCACCTCCCAGTTCCCCCTTTTATATACCCCAGCTTTGCCCAAATAAATGAGCTTGATCAGAGTTTTGTCTTGCTCCACGTCCCAGTGTCTTTTTTCTCCATCCAGGTTCGCCTTTCCCCGCAGGGCCTTGCTCGTGCGTCCCGCAGGCCGGGACGCAACATCAAGCTAAAACAGAGAATTTTGTTTGGCCAGCCCCTGCGTTCCAGACCCATGAGTAGTGCAAAGAGCTATTCATGACGTCTCTCATGTTGGGCAGTTTGCACGGTTAAAACTCTTTAAAGCTTGTTTTCTTTTTTTCCAAATCATTTTTTTGGGGGGCTTGTACAATTCTTAACACAATCCACACATACATCCATGTGTCAAGCACATTTGTACATTTGTTGCCATCATCATTCTCAAAACATTTGCTTTCTACTTGAGCCCTTGCTATCAGCTCCTCACTTTCTCCCTTCCTCACCACTCCCCCCTCCCTCATGAACCCTGGATAATTTCTAAATTATTATTATTTTGTCATATCTTACACTGTCCGACATCTCCCTTAACCCACTTTTCTGTTGTATGTCCCCCAGGAAGGAGGTTATATGTAGATCCTTGTAATAGGTTCCCCCTTCCTAACCCCCCTCCCCTCTCCCCCCCAGTATCGCCACTCTCACCACTGGTCCTGAAGGGGTCATTTGTCCTTGATTCTCTATTTTCTGACCTCCATATTTATAGAAGTATTCTCTCCTTGTCCATCTATACCATTCTTTTATATTCAGTAAAATCTGTAAGCCTTTCTCTTATCCTTTGGCTTGTGACTTTGGACTTTATTTTTTGTTATTAGAGAGACTTTGCACATTCAATGTGGATGGTTTCACAACTATTTCTTATTTTTCTTGCTGTTTTATTTATTTTTATATTATATTTGGTGATTCCAAATGTTCAAGAGTATTTAAAACAGACATCTGAGGCATAATTTCAATGTTTATAATTTTAATAGTAATCAATGGTTATTTTAAAAGGCATCAAATAATGTAAAGAATCACATGAAAATATTATTACTTCCAACCCTTCTGCTTTTCAGAAGTCATTACAGTAATAATTCATTTGTCCCTTCCAAATATACTTAATGTGTATGCTCCTGCTAAGGATTCCAAGTGGTATAAAAAGTTTGATCTCGATTACTAACTGAAAGGTTGGTACCTCAAACTAACCCCAGAGATAGTGCAGGAGAAAAGTCAGATCAATGTCCTATGGTAAGAATGCAGCCAAGAAATTTCAAGGAACAGGACTATTGTGCAACATATGGGGCTGTCCGAATCAAAATTGACAGTAACTCATAACAACAGTAATCACTCTGTGAATAAATCACACCTGTGCTAACAAAATCACTCCTTGAAATGGTGTGGTTTATTCCATAAATCCTTGACTATACATATTCTTGAAAACATTTAATTGCTATCTCATTCCTGTGTTCATTTCCCCTTGATCAACATCATTCTGTTCAGTACATAGTCATTCAATAGCTCTGACTATAATTAAAATGACCAAATGAAGCAGTAACAAAATCACACTTTCACTTCCTCCTCCAGATTGATATAACTCTACTTCTTTTTGAAACAGAAATTCACAAAAATATTTTGAGTACTCAAAGTTTACACTTCTCCAAAACCCATTCGACTCAGGGTTTCATGGCCCATTTCTCCAGAAGAACTTCGTAAGGGACTGTGAGCTCAGAACTCTTGAAGGTGGTCAAGCTGGATTTCTTATCCAACTGCGGTATTTGACCAAGTTAATCTCGTTTTCCTTGTTAACTACCGATAAATGTTTTCATTTACGTGCTGGAGTTCTTTTAATCGTCCTTCCTTACTGGTCACTGCTAGTCATCGTATGCTGCTTTTTCTGCTCCATTCCATGATTGTGTTGTACCTTGACCCATGCCAACATGTTTCTCTGTGGCACCTATACTCACTCCCGTTGAAGCCTCATCGATTTGATAACCAGAAGTACGCTCTGCATCTCTTCATACCTCCAACCTTCAGCCTTCCTCAGATCTCACTCTTTGCGTAGAGAGATGCTCCACATCTTTGTCTTGATGTAGATTGAACATTTCATGTACTTAAAATGAACTTTCCACTGAAACTGCTTTTTCATAGCATTTCTCATTTCAGTAAAAAGTAACTCTAAATTTCTGGATAAGAATTGTGCCCCCTCATATTCACATTCAGTAGTTAAAAAAATTGTGTTAGCTTAATCTTCAATATATACCCAACCTGACCAATTCTCAATACCCCAAACATGATCATGGTGAGCGCTCCGAAACCATTGTGAACAAAACCTTCGAACTAATTTTATTTTCCCCTTTTCTCACAGAGCAGCTAAAATGAGTCAGGCAGGCTATTCCAAAGCTTCAAACACTCAACTGCTTTATCACTTCATTGAGAGTTAAAGGAATATCCTTACCGTGTGCCACAGGGTGTGAACCCCGCTTTCCTCACGAATATTATGCTCTACCATTTCCTTAGGCTACCAAGTCACTTAGATGCCAACATTATATTTCAAAAATGCCAGACATGTTCCTTTTTTGGTAATTTTCATTTGACATTCTCTCCACCCTACCTTTTGAAAATCTCTTTCTAAACTACGTGCTTCAAGGATCATTCAAAACTTCACTTGTTATAGATGCCTCCACCAAGCTAGCAGTATTTAATAACACTCAATAAGCACATGCCTATTCCTTCATCTAATTTACTGTCTTCATAATTAGTGTCATTGAACTGTGCATGTGATGATTTTTGTTAAAAAAGTGATACAACAAATATAACTATTTGACAAATAATATTTGTAGGTGTGTATTTACCTTTGTTACAAATATATCCTTGAGGGTGGTGGAATGTGTAGGAGGCAAACTTATGAATACATTAAGACATACCGAACCCTTTGAAGGAATGAGTTGCTGGACCTGGGAGATTAAAATGAAAGTCTCAGGGGACACCTTGAGTTAATTAGTATGGTAGTTCATGAGACAACGGTTTACAACCTACTTTGGTGAGTAGCAGCTGGAGTCTTGAAAGCTTGTGATCAGCCACCTAATGCACATCTACTGGTCTCTCTGCACCTGGAAAAAAGACAATTGATGAAATCAAAAGACACATGGAAACAATTGGTTCAGTGGACTGAAGTATCACAAACATATCGGTCTACACAACCTTGAAGTCATAAGACCAAGAAGGTGCCCAGCTACCACTGCCAATTGCTCTGAAAAGTATTATATTAGTATGTCTGGGATAGAATGGGAGACAAATGTGGAACATAACTCAAAAATCATAGAACAGAGTGTGCTTTCCAGTGAGATAGAAAGTGCTGAGATGTTCAAGATTGTGACCTTTTGTAACCTTCCAGTTCTGAAAATGAATTCACCCAAGTGTTCGATTAATCAATCATTTAAAAATAAAAGGACCATTATTTA